TGGGACACCGCTTCCCTGCTATGGTGACAGGGCCCCCCAGGGACTCTGTGGGCTGGTGGTGGCCATCCTCCTGCTCACTCCTCCTGCGCCACGGCCAGTGGTTCTTGCAGAGCTGGCTCCTTCCCCAGCCAGTGGCCCCCCTGCTCCTTCACTGTAGGGCAACATGCTGGGGTTTTGTGAGGGGCTTTTTGTGGGGGAGGGTATCTTCAGCTGCAATTAAACATTGCCATTCCCAGGACTTGGTAATAGTGGCTTCCAGGTGGGAAGTAAACTCCCGCTGCTGTATTTTCTTGCTGCCTATGAGGGAGGATGATGTAAGGAGTCTGGGACGGAGCATCTTTTTGTCGCAGCATTTTTAGGTACAGATTGCAAAGTGCTTTAGTAAAGGTCAGTGTTGTAACCCCTGCTTGATGATTAGGAAACAGAGGGGAGGGAGCCAAGTGGCTTCATCATGACAGCGAGTCAGCAGAAAAGCTGTGAATCACGTCACTGCCTCTGTCCTCCTCCTCTGATGACTGCTTTCCCTTCCCCCAAATATTTGTGTAATTCTGCCTACCACATGCCCAGTTTGAGGCGTCTGATTGCCTGCTGGATGGTATGTAGAAAACCACCATCATGTATATGTCGGCTCATAGAGCACCTAGCCATGTTGTAGCCTGCAGTGGTTGGTTGTAAGGTGTGTCTGACCTGCCCCCCCAGCCCAAAGACATAAACTTTGAGGACCAGAGGATGCTGCAGGTATCCTGAGACAATGTGTGTCTCTGCAAAGGAGTGGGGACATTTTCCTCAGCCTGGGAATTAGTGCAAAGGGGCTGTGATGCTGGAGGACAGTCTGAAGTCAGGTGTCTAATGAGTGTATGGGCTTGCTGTGGACACCTAGCATCTTTGCCAGCCTCACCACCCTTCCAGGCACGTAAGGTCCCCTGTGTCCTGGCCAGGTTCCAACATGGGTCATCACCCATTTAACCTCCTGGAGCTCCTCCAGCAGATGTGTCAGGATACCCTCAGCAGTTTGGGAGAGCATGTCTCTGTGCCATCGGAGAGCTGATGTCTTCTGCACTGGTGCTGCCCGCAGGGCCCCTGCCCAGGCGCCGCTGCAGAGTTTAACACCTGCACGTGTTCTTCACTCAGGTTGTATGGCTTCACAGGGGCTGGGAGACCAGGCAGACTTAAAAAACAAAGAGGGTTGTAACCGTGACTTGTTGCCAGTGTAAATTGAAAGTCTTAATAGTGTATGTAGGGCCAATTACAGTACATCAAGGTATGATATCCTCTTTACTGGCACTCTCCAGGGAGCCAGGAGACATTGTGGCAACAGGATTATGGTTTGCAGATGATATGCACGATAACTTCACCTAGACACATGCACCTGTTTCCCTCACTAAACAGATGTTCAGGAGGCTGTTAAGAGAACATCAGCCTCTTGACAGCGCTGCAGAAAATGCCATGTAACCGTGCATGTTCACATCACTGCTCCCACCACCTCTGGTGGTTGACAGAGGGCTGGATCAGCCCTGCCCTGGCACACCGAAACCCCAGCCCCTGGGCCAGACCAGATCAAATCAGCATTGAAGGCCAAGCCCTTTCCTGGCTCTCTGCCCAGGCAAATCCCCAAGCCAGGAAAGGGAGTTTCCCCTGTATGGGGAGGGTGAGGTTTGGCTGGCTCAGTGCCTGGGGTGTCAGTCTTCTTGCAGTTTCACTCCTGCACCAGCAGCTACAATCATTTCTGTATCATGGCAGGGATCTTTAAACATGGCCTGGCAAGCTGCACAGGGTGTAGGGAGACCCACTTTGTGCTGGAGTAGACCTACCACCAGGATGGAAAGAGATGGATTCCCTGGTGTTGTATTCTACCATTACCATCACCCTGGACCACTAACGTCAGGATTTATAGGTTTTTTCCCTTTTAAAATAGTTTTTCCTAAATGCAAAATGAGCCTTTTGGATTAGTTTGTGTGTCTGTGAATGATAGCTGATGGTCATCCCTTTGTGGGAGCAGAAGTACACGCCACCCCACAAAGCTTCCTGTGTCTTAACCAGACTGTGGGCAAAGGATCTGTGCCCTGCACGAAGCAGCCTGCAGGCCGAAGGTGAAGCTGCCCCAAGGTAACTGTGTGTCACAGCATTTCCAACTCAGCAGTTTTCAGTCTGTGGTCTGTAAAAGCCATTAATTGTTTCTGTAGGATCTGCAGAAGGTAATGAAGAAGAGATGCATGTGTGTTTACTGTGCAGGAGCCAGCACCTGGACAGGGAAGCATTTGGTGTTAACAGATTGGAAAAGACCAAATATCCTCTAATTCTGTGGGAGAGAAATGAAACCTGCACTTGCATCTTCTGTGGTGTGCCTCTGTTAGGAAAATAAGTCATGTTAAATGAGAAGTGCATTGGCAGGGGTGTCATTACATATCAATGATACTTCTAATCTAGATTAAACTTTGCACACAATCTTATGAACCTGTGCAAATGCGTACAGTCTAGCAAAGGAAAGACCTGTAATTCCCTGCCAGGGCCTGCTGCTCTGACTGGTAGCAGCAGTAGAAGCAATTATCTCATCGAGATTTGGGGAACGGTGCATGGGTGGGCAAATTCTTGAACACTGGCTGCAGTGGCTGCCAGATAGGGCTTGGAGGTCTGGAGTGCATGCATGGAATGTAAGATCTCATTTTTGCCAGAGTTAATAAGATTGCTTCCCTATCACCCTCACCCCTACAAAAGATGCTGTCTTCCCAGGCATCAACATGGAAGCAGGGAGAGCTGCATGGAGGCCATCCAAGTGCCCTTGGATGACCTCAGGGGTCTGTGCTGTTTGTACACAGTGGGAATTGCCATGATTATGTTCCAGGAACAAGCCCTCACTGCTTCACTGAAATACATCTTGTCATGTACAAGGTGCAGGTTTGGTGCCCCAAACACCAGGCTTAAAAGTACTCCATGCCAGTCCTCCTCATTTTCACCTGCTGGAGGTGCCGCAATGTGGGAAGAGCACTGGAAGGGATGCTTGCATCTCAGCAGCTCTGGTCTGTGCGTACCCTGGCTTTGTCTCTACGCGTGTGTTGATATTGAGCAACCCCACCACACACAGCATGTGTATATACTGCATTTTAATAGATATAGGGCTACTGACTTAACATACACAGTTGCTATAGTAACAGGTTTCCTTAGTAACGGTTGCAGAAAATAATCCAGTACCAATTAAAAATAAACTGTTTGGAAAGGGGGCTGGGGGAGAAAGGAAACTGCTCAGAATCACCTTCCCCTTTATTGGTTCATCTCCCGGGGACTTGGAAGATTGATTAATGCTTGAAATAACCTCTCTTAACCAACGGTGAGCCAAAGAGGTGGGACGAGTGTGGGTGTGTTGCCATCCTGAAGCGAAACAAAGGGTAAGGAGTGTGTCTGGGGTATGGCAGAAACACAACATGGTGATGCTAAATCTCTCCCATTAGGTTGAAGTCCCCAGGGAGGAAAAACAAAGGACTATTTCCCTCCTTCCCTCCCTCCACTGCCTTTGTGCCATACTGGTAACACAGCCATCGAGTCTTTATTAGCATACTGATTAAAGCCACGGGCAATCCAGGCTCCAGGGGAATGTCTAATGAGTTACCAGGATGCCTATCTCAGATGCTGTGTTAGAGCAGAAAGCATCGCTGTGCTGGGAGTTCTTCCTGCCCATTTGATGTTGTTTGCCTGTGCCCATCCTCTCTCCCCACACCATCACTCATCGCTTGTGCTGACAGGCATCCAAGACCCTGGGGCCCAAGGAAGCTGGAAGCAAAGCATAATGCAAAGCGAGGAGCCTGTGCCTCGGTGAGACAGGGGAGACAACGTCACTTCCTTGCAAACACAGGATGTGGGACAGGTTTCCGGGGTGCAGATGGGCACAGCTCCTCTGACAGCCTTCAGTTGTTCACACCTGCAGTGCCACACTTCTGTCGTGCCACTCGTGCCAGGGCACTCACTAGGTTTTTTTAAGAGATTTACCAGTTGTCAGCAGAACCTTTCACCTGGTGGCAAGACTGCATGCCCCCTTTCAGAGGAAAGCTCACACGTGGGGAGAGGCAAAGGAGGGGAGGTGGTGGCAGAGCTGCTGGGAGGAGTGGCGTGTCTGTCCAGGAGCTGCTCCTCTCCTCGGGTCTGCAGCCGGCTGGGCTCCAGGGCACAAGTGTCACAGGAGAGCCCTTCCTGTCCTCCCCGCAGACGGGATTGCCCTGGGTCAAGACTTGGGCAACAGGCACAGCCTGAGCACACGCAGGGGAGGCTTTATCTCCTGCTCCTGCAGGGACAAAGAGCTAATGACACTGCTGTGTCATCCTCAAACACTGTATGACCACTCAGCTACTGTGTGGGAGCTGCAGTTGTGCTTGCAAAGCCAAGGGAGATGATGTGGCTGTACCTTGTCCCGAGTTGAATGGTCTGTGATGGACCTGGAACCAGGTCTCTGGAGCAGAGCTTGCTCCCTGCTGATTCTTTCCAGTCTGGTGCTCTGCCTTCTTTTGCAGTTGTGCCCACATTTGCTCCCCTAGCTATTGCATGTCTGTGGGTTACATGTCACCAAGATGGCTGGCATGTGACAGCAGTAGAGTCTTGTTTACTTTGCTCCTACTGGAAATGGTTTTCTCTGGAACTGCTCAACAGCTCATTGCCCTGAGGTGGAAATGGTATGATTTCACCATTAAAAAAGTTTAGATGTTATATTCTTTCTAAGTTTGGTGGCTTAGATCACAGTGAATTAAGAAAGGGAATCTTTTAAAGGACAAACTGAAAAAGCAGCCTCTTGCTGAGGGCCATGGTGGGAGGGTCCAGGAGTAGAGCAGGGGGATGAAAGAAGAGAGATTTGGTAGGAGAACATCTAAACACTTTTGTCTAAAAGGTCCAGTGCATGTGGGAGCAGCCATGCCTGCAGTTAGGAGAGGACTTTCTGGTCCTCCCCAAACCAGGTGAGTTTCTTTTCTGTGCTAATGACCCACCTTTCCTCATCCTTCTCTGTTCCTCCCTCACAGTGACCAAGCTGCAGGTGAGCAAGTCGAAGCGGAGCATCACTCTGGTGGAGAACCGGCCCATTCCCCTCAACTGCTCAGTGAAATCCCAAACCAGCCCTGACTCACACTTCGCCGTGCTGTGGTACGTCCACAAGCCCTCTGATGCCGACGGCAAGCTCATCCTAAAGACCACCCACAGCTCGGCCTTCGAGTACGGCACCTACGCAGAGGAGGAAGGGCTGCGGGGCCGGCTGCAGTTTGAGCGCTCGGCGTCAGGGGGGCTCTTCAGCTTGACGGTACAGCGGGCCGAGGTCCGTGACAGCGGCAGCTACTACTGCCACGTGGAGGAGTGGCTGCTCAGCCCCAACCATGCATGGTACAAGCTGGCAGAAGAGGTGTCAGGAAGGACAGAGGTCACCGTCAAGCAGCCAGGTACCACGTGCCACACTGGTGGGATCCTCCAGGCATCAGCTCTTGTGCACGGCTTATGAGCTTGCCAAGCTTTTCTGGTGCAACAGGGATCCTCAGCTCTTCTTTCTGCTACAGCCTTGTCCCCCCCTCCTTGCATCCACATGCCTGCACATCCCTGCACAAAGAAGAACCTTTTCCCCCTTTGATGCAACCCTCCTCCATTTAGGCTGGGGTGGCATGGATTTCAGTGTCCCCACATGAAGGCTGTCCATCCCCCATGATCTAGATCCGTCCCCCATGATCCTCCATGATCTGTTTTGCACACAGTTCGGTTTTACTCTGGTCCTTGTCTCTTTTTCCTCTGCACTGTGCACATGAGATGCGAGTAATGAGTTTAATGAGGTGCGGGGCTGGCTGCCAGGAAAGGAGAAATCTGCTCTGCTGGTGGTTTCTGTGGCAGCCAACATCACTGGTAAAGGTGGGCTGATGGAGGAGCTAAAGAGGGCCCTCACAAACTGGGAACAGAGCCCTCATTTTGTGCAAAGGGGGGAGGCAGGCGTTGTCTCTGAGAGCAGCCTGGACACCATGTCTGCTGGTGAGGCAGAGCATCGCTACTTCACAAGGAAACCTACCTTGTCTCCACTTGCTATGGGTGATTGTTTCTGGAGGAGAAAATCCCTCAGGCAGGAGGGACACAGCAGGATTGCAGGGCTGGGCTAGGATCTTTAAAGCTTTTCTCTGTGTGGATTTGGCTGGCTAGACACAAGCTCTATGGATGGGGCTGTCAGAGGGATATTGAGTATGATCCCCAGTGCAGCTTTGCCTGGTCACGCAGGAAGTGCAGCAGGCCACAACGTGCTGCTCACTGCCACTCCTGGCTCCTCGTTTCTGTCTGCAAAGTCCCCAAGGTGGCTGTGGGACAGTCAGGGAGGGGGGGAACTGTGATCTGCCCCCTCCTTTGCGTTTTCAGCCTCTCTCTGGGAAGTACAGTGTCTGTCGCTTGCTGCAGTGGCTGTAGCAGGGAAGTCCAGGCTGTGACCCTAGAAAGAAGTCATGAAGGAGTTAGGAGTGTACGACACATCATTTCACATAAAAGCTGATTGCAGTCACCCCCCTTGTGTATCAATGAAATTGTAGAGCAAAAATCAGGGACATTCCAAGGCAGCAAAACATAGTGTGTGACTTTGACCTCAGGCCACTTCTCCTTTTGCAGAGCTGGTTTCCTATAATCAGCCATCCGTTCTCTGCCTTTCTTTTCTCCATTTTCCCACAGCAGAAGGGCTTAGTGGTTGGGGTGTGACCGGGCTGCTGCCCTGCCCCAGGAGAATGAGGAAAAAAATGAGGTGTGACCTCCCTTCACAAAGTGTCTGTGCACTTAGGACCCCAGGTCTTACTGGGAGATTATGGGTTTCCAGTTCCCTGTGTTGAATGAGGTGTTGTTGGTGGCTTGTCTGAGATTTTCAGAAGACCCTAAAAAATACAAGTCCTATTTTCCTTTCCTCCTCCCTGTCCCCCCCATAATTTTTTTTCCTCCCTTTCCTCATTTCTTTCATCACACCCCAGGATTTTATCCATGTGGGAAGGGCTTGTGGGGAGACAAAGGACCCCTGCAGCCCTCAGTCACCTTGCATTTCTAATGGCCTTTCCCATAGATAACCGCCTGCAGGTGAACCAGACCCACAAGAACATCACGGTGCTGGAGAACCAGTGGGTGACCCTGGAGTGCCTGGTCAGCAGCCGGACCAGCCCCTCATCCCAGCTCTCGGTGGAGTGGTACGTCTGGCGGCCGGGCCACCCGGAGAAGGAGGCGGTGGCCCGGCTGAGCCGGCAGAGCACCCTGCGCTACGGGGATCTGGTGGCGCTGGGCGACCTGCGGAGCAGGCTGCACCTGGAGAGCCCCTCCCCGGGTCTCTACCTCCTCTCCATCCAAAACGCCACCGTGCGGGACAGCGGGGCCTACAACTGCCGTGTGGAGGAGTGGCTCCTCGACCCCAGCGACCGCTGGTACAAGCGGGCAGAGGACCTCTCCGGACTCATCACCCTCACCGTCAAGCAGCCAGGTGAGGAGGATCTGGTGCCAGCAGCTTTGAGCCATATTCTGCCCTCTTGGGCTGAAGTCATGCGTCACCATCTGTCTGTCCTCAACAGTGGGTCCAGGCAGAGGGCAGGACCACTGCGCTACAAATCATGCTGATGCCTGCTTGCATGTCTTCTTGGGTGAACCTTTGCTTTTCTGGAAGGAGGACGGAGCAAGCCCTGCAAACACTGCTAGATGGGTTTGAGATTGCGTCACCACCACATCTGCAAATTTAATTTTTTACAGCCCTTTTGGCAGATTCAGTAGGATAGGTGTCTGATTTTATTCACGTTTTGATTGAGAATGAGATGGGAGAAGCTGTCTGTGCTTCCCAGGTGTCACCCCAGGAGCAGGATCCTTGCATGAAGGGAGGGTGGCAGAGGAGGTCGAGACCCTTGTTGGTTTCTCACACTGCTGCTCCCCATTCCGTGGGTGAAGAAGCAGATGTGGGGTGTGCAACTCCAGGGGTTCATCTGTCAGCTGTGACAAGGCCTCAGACTTCTTGATGGGGCAGGTGTAGGTTGTGAAGACCTTACCTCTGTATAGACAAGAAGGTACTTACAGGCTTCCTGGCCAGCCTCTTGCTGGTGATAGTGATTCAGGTGGATCCTGCTGCCTAACATCGTGATTTTTAGCTGTGCCCAGACACAGGGAGGCAGGCATCAGGGATTGCTGCAGGTCTTGTTATTTCCAGGATCTAGTGGGGAAAAAAGTGCTACAGAAGTTCAAACCAGGGAGAAAGCTCCAGTTTCAAAGGGCTGTGGATGGGATGGGGATAGGGATAGGGATAGGGATAGGGATAGGGATAGGGATAGGGATGGGGAATGGAATGGAATGGAATGGAATGGAATGGAATGGAATGGAATGGAATGGAATGGAATGGAATGGAATGGAATGGAATGGAATAGAATAGAATAGAATAGAATAGAATAGAATAGAATAGAATAGAATAGAATAGAATAGAATAGAATAGAATAGAATAGAGCCTGACTGCTTCAGGCCTGACAAATATTTACAACATATTTTTAAGGGCACTGTCCAAATGCCTCTTAAACACTTGACAGAGATGGGCCATTGACTGCCTCTCTGGGAAGCCTGTTCCAGTGTTTGACCACCCTCTTGGTAAAGAAATGCTTCCTAATGTCCAGTCTGAACTTCCCCTGGCACAGCTTTGAACCATTTGCATGTGTCCTATCACAGGATCCCAGGAAGATAAGCTCTTATACTAAGTCCTCTCTACTTCCCCTCCTCAGGAAGCTGTAGAGAGTGGCGAGTTCACCCCTCAGCTTCCTTTTCTCCAAACTAGACAAACCTAGAGTCCTTAGCTGCTCCTCACAGGACATTCCTTCCAGCCCTTTTACCAGCTTTGTTGCCTCCTTCTGTCCAGAAGGATGCTGTGAGGGAGAATATCCCCTTACTAAAGGGATATTAAAGCCTTACTGAGATCCAGAAAAACTACATCCACTGTATTCCTCTTATCCACTGGGCAGGTGACCTTATCATAGAACGATATTAAATTAGTTAAACAGGACTTTCCCTTTGTGAACCCATGTTGACTGATGATTGCATTATTCTTTAAATGCCTTTTAATAGTATCCAGTGTAATCTTCTCCATAATTCTTCAGGAACTGAGGTTAGACTAACAGGTCTGTAGTTCCCATGTCCTTTTTGTAAATTGCAATAACACTGGCTAGCTTCCAGACAGCAGGGACCTCCCCAGGCTCCCAAGACCTTTGAGTGATGATTGAGAGGGATCCTGCCACAACATCCACTAGCTCCTTCAGTACTCTGGGATGAATCCTATCAGGCCCCATGGACTTGTGAGCGTTCAGCTGATACAGCTGCTCCCTTGTGATTACAGTGTCTACAAATGGAAAGCCACTGTTCTCTCACTCATGGTCCTCTGACTCAGGGGACCAGATAGCCTGAAGTCTGTCAGTATTATTCAAGATCAAGGCAAAAAAAGCATTGAATCCCTCCTCTTCTTCTTCATCCCTATTAGTCAGATGACCATCTTCAACAAGTATTGGTTCAATGCTTTCCATAGACCTCCTCTTGCTATTAACATACTTTAAAAAGCCCTTCTTGTTATCTGACTGGCCAGTTGCAGCTCTAATTGAGCTTTGGCCTTCCATGTCTTCTCCTTTCATATATGAACCACAGCTCTGTAATCTTCCTGTGAAGCCTGACCTTGCTTCCAGAGATCGTACAATTTCTTTTTCCTCTTGAGCTCCACAAGGAATGCCCTGTTCAGCCAAGCTGGTCTTCTACCCTGCTTGCTTGACTTAGGACACAGTGGAATTGCCTGCTCCTGTGCTTCTAAAAAGTGGTTCTTAAAGACTGACCAGCGCTTATGGACTCCTAAGCCCTCAAAAGCAGATTCCCAGCTAAGTTTCATCTATTTTAGCAACAGATAAGCTGCAAGGACAATTTACCTTGGAAAATATGGATTCTCTAGTTCTTGAGGCAAATGACTCAAGATTAAATGTCTGTCTTAAAGGCTGCAGGTCAATAACAGTTACGGTCTTCATTTGCTGGGTACTTTCCAGCATGTAAAGCAACTGCTCTGCAAGTACTGCTGTGGTGCTTTATGCCTGCCTGTTCCAGCACGGTGTCAGCCTCGTAACTCTGCAACACAGCTGGCAAAAGGGTAAGTTTCTGGAAAGGTTTTAGTGGTCATTCCTGGCAGAGAAGATATGTAGTGTGAAGGAGGAGCTCTCTCAGGGGACAGCACAGCCCTTAACTGCCAAGTCCTTGCTTGGGAAGCTTTGCTGGACAAGATGGCTTGAGCAGAGACCTCCCCCCAGGCAACCCCTGTACTCCACATGCCTGCTCCATTGTTAAGCGCAGCCCTTGGTCCAGGCTGAGAATTGCCAGCCCTGATGGAGTGGGGAATGAATGGCAGGGGAAATCCTTGAGGTTCATTTTGAATTGTGGAAGATGTGGAGTGGGAAGAAGAGAGGGAGTGGGGGGCACTACTTCAAGATCATTTTTTCTAAAAGTGCTTTGTTGTTGTTTGTTTTTCTTTCACGGCAGCCAGAAGCTAACAAATTGACTACACTTAAAAATAGCATAGCTTGTGACTCACATCTCATTAATGAGGATCTCCGTGCTCGTCTTTCAGGACTATAATCATGAGCAAAGTGGGGGGAAAAAAACCTCTCAGCACCTTCAGACAGCAGTTTTCCTCTTTCTGCTTAACCTGCTGAGGTGTGGGAGGATTTGTGTTGATTTCAACAAGCCATTTCCTTCCCTTCCTCCCTTTTTACCTCAGTAGTCCCCGATTTACCTTATCTCAGGACTTACCTCATTCCTGTTTCTGCACAGGAGTCTTCCTGGTGAAAGATGTGAGCTGAAAACTCTCATGTTGCCTATGGCCTGAAGAGCTCTGGCCTTAATGAAGATTTTCATTATGAGAGCATTTAAGAAGTATAGGGCAGGTGCTGTAATGAGAAGCCCCGCTGGGCACAGCAGCCCCATGGCTGCTGAGAGCTGGGGGACAGCAGCCCCCTCCTGCAGGGACACCCAGGATCTGTGCAAGGGAGGGCTTGCCCAGCTCTCTTTGCATGAGGAGAAGGCTCCTCTCTCTTTGGTGAGCTATCAGCCTGCCCTTCTTGCTCAGCCTCCACGTCAGAAAGGGCTTTTTAATCATTAAATGAAAGCTTAGATCCGGACTGATTGCGATCCCTGGAGTACGTGTTCCCTGGCAAGATGACTAAACCAAATGTTAATTGCTCTTGAAGTCAGCCTTTAATCAACTCCTCTTGGGTTCTGGCCGCTGTATCTCAGTTAGGTAGAAACATCTCTTTAGCTTTGCAGCAAGCACTAGAGAAAAAAGACGAGAGACGGAGAATTTTGGAAATGTCCTTGCTCTGTGTGTGCTGATGACATCTCCATAGAGGAACCTCTTACCTAAATAACTTCCCAAATTGCTGGAAAAAATCCTTTCCTCTTCTGTCGTGCTGATTTTCTAGGTTTTTGAGTGCTCTAAAGAAATAAAAAATAAGCGTGGAGTGCAGTCTTTGCACCAGTAGCCGAGGAGTAGTAGTACATTGCTCCTCAGCACATGCACCAAACCTTGGTATTTCCTGCCATGTTCTTGTAACATGTCTGGATGAGCCACAGGAGCTTTCTCTGCTCACAGGCTTGCCCATTAGTTGGTGCGAGGGTCTGCATGGGCAGGGCGGTAGCACGGTGCTCGCAGCCAAGCTCCCGTTTGACCCTGTGCCAGGTGGTGTGCGGTGGGCTGAGGTTGCTGTGCCTGTGGGGTTGATCACAGAGGTACCTGTGAGACTTGGCAGGCTGCGTCAATTCTTTGGGTTTTGCTTGGATCACACCCAGTGCCAGAGTTGTGACAGTCAGTTTGTGCCAGGGTAGGGTGGCTTTGGCGATAGCATTTTGTTCAGTGTTCACCTCTCCCCTTTTGTCATCTCAGATCCCACCCTGCAGGTGGACACGGCCACCGCCAACCTCACAGTGCAGGAGAAGGAGTCCTTCCCGCTGGACTGCAGCATCCTGTCCCGCTCCAGCCCAGAGTCCCACTTTGCAGTGACGTGGTACAACCTGCGGGCCAAAGAGGCGGGTGGCCATGCAGAGGAGGAGGAGGAGGAGGAAGAGGAGAAGGAGGCGGTGCTGAGCGTGGGCCCTGATGCTGTTTTCAGCCCTGAAGCTGGTCGCTGGGAGGGCCGCCTGCGCTTCCAGAGGCTCTCAGCGGTTCTCTTCCGGCTGACGGTGCTGCAGGCTGGCGGTGCTGACACAGGCAACTACTCGTGCCGTGTGGAGGAGTGGCTGGCAGACCCCAACGGCGTGTGGTACCGGCTAGCAGAGGAGGAGTCGGGGACTGTCGCCGTTCATGTGCAGGATGCAGGTGAGAAGAGGCAGTGACCCTCCTGGGGGCATGGCCCTGGCATCCATCCCCTGCATCTTGCTTCAACCATGATAAAAAGGCCAAGGGGTGAGTGGGACTGGGTCTCAACTGCACTGGGACAAATATGTGCCAGTGCTTTTCCAGTCAGCTTGATGGCTCATAACCCAGCTCTTGCTTGGGCTTGAGCATCCGCACTGTGCTTAGCTCTGTGCTGGGGCTGCCCGCCCCACAGCATCTACCACCTGGTATGTCTCAGGTCAGTGGGGGTGGACATCGCCCCCAGCTGGGGTTTAACCCTTCTCGTTGGGAAACATCCTGGAACTTGGCTTAGCTCTGCACAGGGGCTCAGGCTGTGGCATAAGGGTATCTTCCCAGCAATTCCTGAAGCCATCAGATGTTTTAGGGGCCCCAGAGATAACTGGCATCAATGAGAGTTTTCTAGGCCCTTGAGGGAGGTACCCTAGGGTGCTGCCTCTTGAGCTGAGGGAATCAACACTTGTGAGGCTCACCACTTTATAAGATATCATAAAATCTGCACCAGGAAGGACTCCCTAGTGAAACTTTTGGGGTGGATAAAGCCAAAACATGTCCTGCGATAACTTTCTTGTGCTGCTCTGTTTTCCAGTATTGGTATTTTTCTCATAGCCCTGTCTCCTGCATTGACAGATTAATGAGCATCTGGGGTTTTTTTGTTTCTGAAGAGGTTTGTAGGTAGGCCCTGCATTTCAGAGAAGCCAGGAAATGTGACTGTCCTGTGTGTCTTTCCAGGCTCCACCCTGCAGTCTGTCATCTGCTCCAATGATGCCCTCTTCTACTTTGTGTTCTTCTACCCCTTCCCCATCTTCGGCATCTTGATCATCACCATCCTCCTGGTGCGGTTCAAGAGCCGAAACTCCAGCAAGAACTCAGAGGGCAAGAATGGAGTCCCCTTGCTGTGGATCAAAGAGCCTCACCTCAACTACTCTCCTACATGCCTAGAGCCGCCGGTCCTCAGCATCCACCCAGGAACCATAGACTAAAGAGGCAGAGGCGCCTGGGGGGGGACGCGCAGAGAGGGAGAAGCAGAGACACACCAGGAACCCTAAGGAACAGAGTGGGTTTTGTTGTTCTTGTTTCATTTGTTTCTGTGTCTGTGCTCCAATGCGGTGGCTGAGCTCTGTGGAGTGCCCAGCCGATGGGGACATAAAGGTCCGAGGCGTCCTCCAGCGCCTGTGGGAATGCACCCCCTCACCCCAATGGACGGAGGGTCCCTGCACTTGCTGTATATAGTGGACGTTCCTCTCGGATTCATTTTGTTCCCATCAGTTGCTGTCTTTTGGGCCGTTACTTTTTTTTATCGTTTCTTTTTCAATCACTCAAAGAACTGTAGGCTTCCCCTGCCCTCCACACAGCGAGAAGTTCCTAGGGGGCATTTGGTCCTGGGATGATCTTTTTGAAAGTAAATGTATATGTTTTCCAAAACAGACTGGTTTTTCCTCCTCAGACTCGATGCCACAGTGAAGAAGGTCTTTTCCCAAGGTGTGCTGAGCTAGCTCCTCCCTCTACCAAATCAAAGCCAAGTCCACCTCCAGAGGGGTTACCTGGGTTATCGGGAGGTCCATCTCAGAGACTGGCTGTAGCCTCAGCATCTTCTTGCCTCCATCTTACTGCTATCTCAGGAGGGAGCAATTCACCTTTGTGGGAGTATTTCCAGGTCTTGGAGAGACCGAATATTTGGTGCGCTTGCAGTCAGGACAAAAGTAATTTTGTTTGTCTCCAGGAACTGAAGTGGGGGGTGGAAGGAGGACACCTGAAAGCCCTGAAATTGTTGGTATCAAAGGGTGTCCTTGTATGGTCCAGCTTACCAGAGTCATGCTCCTCCCTGGTGTCCATGCTGCCACCTCTGATGAGGCGGGTCCCCTCTGTGCCCTAGTCACCTGGGGACGGGTGGCTGGATTCAGTCTCTGAAGACTTCAACATGACCAAAGTAATGACTCTAGAAAGGGGAAGCTTCATGGTTGGGTTCATGGCCCTGGATGCTTCAACCAAGGAGCCCAGCTGCAGTCATGCCACGCAGCGGTGACATGCAGTTAACCACCATGTGTCACGAGTTTCCCTGCAGCTTGCACTACTTCCCGGCGTGAGCTTGGACAAGGCAAAGAGCCTGCACCGCATCGGTACCCTGGGGGCTTCCCTGTCCCCTCGGGCCGAGAGAAATCTTCCCCTGCGCTTGTGCGTGTATCTGCCATTTTTCGTTTCTGGGGCTTTAGGAGTAGAAAACATTTCTCCATAAGCTCCCCCTCCTGGCAAAGTCACCTGCTCTTGTCGTAGGCAGTCACTGTGGCAGGAAATGCTGTTCTTTCTGTGAAAGATATGGCTCTCATGAACCAAACCAGGGCTCTTGCCACATGGGGCACCTGAGCTCCAGTATCCCGTAATGCCAAGTACCCCTGCCCTGTCCTGTGGAGGAAACCGCCTCCTCCCCCATAAGTGTTATGTCTGGCGGAAGAAAATGTTTGCCAAAAATGGCCTTTGTTGTCTTCCTTGATGTCTTCCTGGCAAATCCGGCCATTTATTTTTTGCAGCATGGCTGAAGCCAACTGGGACGGACAGGCGCAGCTGCAAGACACACACACACACACACACACACACACACACACACACCCCCTGCACCCCCCCCTCATGTGTGAGAGGTGCCATACCCACAGCCGTTGCCCTCCTTGGGAGGGTCGGACTGCTCTTTGTGAAGAGAAGGGGACCTCAGCAGATGCTCTGTAGCACTAGTCGGTTAGACCCTGATGCCTCGATGTTTCCAGAGGTGGTGAAGCCTCGGGTGGGAGATCTGCACTGCACACCCTCTCCCCCAGCTGGGAGAGGACCCACATGACTGTGGACTGTCCCGTGCCAGGGTGTTCTAAGTCAGCCACCTCTACTCTTCCACCAGAATGGCACTGGTTTCTCCTGCTGGGAAGCCCAAATTTCACTCATCCCTCTGCGAAGTCTGCCTCCTCAAGACCTAACTGCTTACTGGCCCCAGCATATGCGGAATATCGCACTCCTATATATAGATGTATCACACACCCACACGCTTGTCTTCCCTTTCTGGATAAGGCGTCTGTAAAGAGAGGAGTGGGATGAGAAGTGAATGGAAATGAAGAACCGAGGTGCAAACAGCAGCAGCTGCAGCCAGTGGGTATTGTTTCGTAAATGTAGTATCTCCTGTACATACTGCTCCGGGCAGGAACTGCAGCTCATTTCAGCTTTAAAGGAAAAAAGAGAAAATGAAGGCGGCAGGAGCCATTCTTTCCTGGGAGAGCACTGTGCTGCGATTGAGCCATGCTCTGCCTCGCCAGCCTCTCTGCTCCAGAGCAGGGCCCTCCTGGAGGGCTGTCTCACAGCCCCGTCCCCCTGGCCGGAACAGGTCCCAGCCCTGCGGTTCCTGCTGTGAGCCCAGGCTTTCCCGGGAAGTGGCTCCCACGGTGGTCCCTGAATGTACCTTGCCGGTGACATTTCTCCCTTGCTCTGGCAGTGTGTTGCCCAGTCTCAAACTTCTCTCTGTTTTTATAAGGCAGACTCTTCCTGTAACAAGTTTTAACACAAAACTTTTCAAACCACTCTCTCTGCTGTAACTTTCTGTAACAAAGCTGAGAAGAAAGAGAGATACCCTATCCATGCATGATGTGGAAAAATGTTTGGGGTTTTTTTAAAAAAAAACCAAAAACCAACAAAAACTTTGTACTATGTTGCACTAAAACATGTTTTATACAACACACCTGAGAGCTGTAGTAAACCGTGTTGAAATTGTGAATCCTATTGCTGCTGTTTTTTGTCAGATTTGGGCTTTCATTATGCCTTTATGCACAGTCCCTGCATAAAGGTGTGCCACACTCCCCCTTTTAGGCAGCCTCTCCCTCTCCCACCACCCCTATTCCCTGATGCATTAACTATCCTCCTGCTGTGGTAGCGCATCTCGTCTCTCTTGCGGGCTGGAGTTTACAAGACACCTTGCACGTTCTGACTCTTCATACTTCTCCCTCCCATCCCTTAATTCATCCCATAATAGAATATAACATTTAACAGAGGCATGTCAAGTCTATTTATTGAATGGGATACACCATTTTTGAAATGCTCTGAAAATAATATGTACTTTGCTGTTTCATAGTCTGGATTTGAAGAAAAAACATGCCTTTTAATAGAATTATCCACAGCAAATGTTAAGCAAATAATCTTTAGTAGCCTTGATATAAGCAGAAGAATATCGTTCGTTACAGAAGTTGCTTAAGTTGATGTAAAATGCACCCTGTTAATTCTCATTACCCACTTTTACCTTGAGTAAGGGCTTGGTCAGTAGTCTTGAACTCTGACATTAACTGAAATAGGGAAGTAGCGTGATACATTCTTACCTGTGTAGCAAAACTGCTGTGAAATTATGCAAAATGCACTGCTAATGCAGCTATACGATTGGGTTTGGGTTTGTTTTCCCCACAGTCATTTGAAACAAAACATATCCTCTGATAAAATAACTGAATTTAAAAAAATATGTTGCCCCCGAACACCACTGGCTGTTTCCCCCCCTCCCTTCAGGGGGTTATCCTGGGCTGCACATGCTCTCTGTGAAGAAGCAGGGGTTTAGCCCTACAGGTGCTCAGCACTAGATGGCAGGGGGTGTCCCCAGCACTCCCCATTGACAGTACTGGCTTGCGCTAGCCATTGCAGGTTTGCCAGGGAGCATCGCTGCCAGCCCACGTACACTCCCTGCGCTCAGGCGTGCATCCCTGACCCCTTCTGACATGCTTGTAAGGGCAGGACCCTGGTTTGGGGCAGTCTGCGGGGGTTTTGCTGCGGGTCCTGCCGCTGGAGCATGGCACTGTTGCACCCTCCCATCAACCCACCTTGTCACTGCTTCCCTCCACCCACCAGCCCCAAGCTGCTAGCTCCAAAATGACCTCCCCTACTGAAGCCAACCCAAGCAGAAAAAGCAGGCCTGGCTCTAATTTACACTCACATGCTTCAGTCCAGTGTGTTTGCAAACAGAGTTTGCAAAACCCTGAGTGAGCGAGGGGCATTAGGTGTGACCCTGCTGCACCCCAGCTGAGGCCAGGTGGTACAAGTCCTTGGCTACCTGCTCCAGGCGGCCCCTGTACTCCAGGTGGGTATAGAGGGAGGTGTGGACCCCCTGGAAGCCGTGCAGGGCCCCCCACCAGCAGGCTGCGATGGCGGCAGTGGAGTCGCTGTCTCCCCCATGGAAGAAAGCCCGGTGAGCCAGCTCTGCCCAGGAGTCCCCTGCGCCCAGTAGCGCATCATAAGCGATCATGGGGGCATCGTGCCCACTGCTGCCCCCCCAGCCATCATAGCTGAGGGAGGTGTAGAACGAATCTCTCTCTTCCACGCCATACCTGGGGGGGAATGTGGGTGGCGAGACTCCATCCAATATGCCTCTCTCCGCCAGGTATTTTTTCCATTGCTCTTCAAAGTAATGCCTGTAAAACAGGAGACGGGATGGAGGAGCTGGCAGAGATGTCCCACCACAGAAGGATATACCTGAGCTCCCTGCAGGTGTGCCGGGCGCCAGCTGAAAACGTGCCACGTCAGGAGCCCTGAGTGATGGCTCGGCAAAATGGTCGGTGTCCCCCATTTGTCAGACTAGGGACATGATTTACAGTAAGAGGCACAAGGACATGTTTCAGTGAGTTAGATTTCCCCTCCCTCCAGCCACGTGGGAGAAGGCAGCCCAGCACCTGCTGCTGTCGTGCTGTGCGGGATTCAAAGGCTCAGAGTGAGAACTGAGTCATCCTCCCAGATTCAGAGTACCTCTGCCTTGCCTGTACGTGCCCTGCGCAGAGAGTGCGCTGAGTCTGCAGCCACATTTGGTTATAACTTTCAAACTGAGCTCAGCCCTAAGCCTGGTACTGTTCCCCAGCCCTGCTTCCCATCTTTCATCAGATCGTAGCTGCTTGAGATGACAAGTCTAGCTACCTCATACTGGATCCAAAAAATGTCACAACTACAAAACCCAAACACAATCTGTCGGGTTTTTGGGTTTTTTTTGCTAAAGTGGACTTCAGAGACTTTCTGAATCAATTCGACCCCGCAGCAGGCACATGCTGCTCTAGGAGCTTATCATAATGTGTACTGAACCTTAAAGTATAAACAAAGCTTGCCCTCTCACACATGAGGTTTATTTTAGTTTTAACAAAGCGCGGTGTTGGGAGCGCAACTCACCATTGCCCCATGTTCTCCTCCACAAAGAAGCCGATATCCTGAACGTAGGCTTTTGCTCGTGGCAGCACCTCCAGCAGCCCCTTCCCCCAGGCCAGGGGGGGCACACCGTTCACTGCGAAAGCTGTGAAGAGAGCTGAAGCCAGGGACCCCAGGTAGCCGGTGGGATGGTGGTGGGTCATTCGGCCGCTCTCAATGCTGACTTGCACCAGGGTATCCAGCTCAGCAGGGTGGCAGAAACGCAGCCCGATGCACATGGAGCGCATGGCAGCCCCGCAGCCTCCTGCCCGGGGGCTGAATGGGACCCTCCAGCCATTCGGCTGCCCCGGATCCAGCTTCAGCGCATTTTCCTGACACATGGCACCTGGACAGGAGTGGCAGAGCCCAAGAAAGAAAAGAAAGAAACAGAAACGCATCAGTAGGAGACAGAGTCACATAACTTGGGAACCAAGGGAAGACAGGGAAGATAGAGGGGAAGGAAGCATTAATCTGCATAATGGATTTGAGCTTCTCCTTAAAAACATTACTTGTCTGCTCACATATATATCCTGCCTTAAATTGCGGTGCATCCTGCATACTCCCAAGCAGACCTGATAATTCTTGTTTGTGGAAATAACTGAGAAGTCTAGAGGGGTAAGAAACAGTCCTCTGCTGATTTATTTACATTGTTTATATTTACATTTCATGTTATTTATCTAATAACTTATCTATAAAACATATATACTATATATATACTAGGTATAATATGTACACATGTATCTAGATAGAGAAACAGATACGAGGTTTGGAGAATCCCTCACTCAAGGCACAGCGAAGTACCTCTGCTTTTTCACTTGTTTAGTCTCTTTACAGGACCTTTTAAAAGCAGAGACCCCACACGACTCCACAGGAATCTTTTCCCATTGCCTAACTGACAGGAAATGTTTTCCAGATCTCCCCTGCTGCAGTTTAGGTTTGTCAGAAAGCGATGGATGTAGTATCTCCCTCACTGCAACATAGTCTGCATAACTGGCTTTACTATACTCCTCTTCAATAAGCTGAAGAACAACTGTACTAGGCAAGACCAAAGGTTTGTCCAGCCCAGTAGCTTGTCTCCAAATACAGCCACTAACTGACAACTACGGAAATACTATAAAAAATGAGGCAAGTCCAATGCTTCCCCAAGAAGACCTGCCTGGCTTCCAGCTGACAGAGGAGCACAGCCTGCTCGAGTCAGAATATAGACCCGAAGCGGTGTGTTCAGTAACCCCCAGCCAACCTAGCCACCATCAGCTGGTCTTAGCTTGAACCCATGCATGCCTTCAGACTCCTTCAACATCCCATGGTAACCAGAGCCATGATTTGTTAGGCAAAGCATGTCTTTTTGTTTTAAACTGCCATTTAATTTTCTTAAGCATCCCTCTTAAAAGAAGCAATGGCCTTTCATGCTGCACTCTATTCAAGTCTGTATCTACTTTGTTCCTCTTCCTTAGTTTTCTCCTGCTCACTAGTCCAATTTTGCCTCTCTTCTGGTGGGAAGCCATACTCCTCTTTGCCCACCTCCATCTCTTTCATAGTTCTGCTACTTACTTTTTAAAGAGATTACTCTGCTGCTTCTTCAGAACCTCACTTGTTAGTCCAGAACGTTCATAGGATAAAGCCATCTGTACAAACACATTCATATTTCAGTGCCTGGCCAGATTCCCCAGCCAAGACCATGAAACATGTTTGGAGAGCTAAGCCCAAATTTTTGTGTGCAAGGAAAAGGAAACAAGTTTAAAACATTAAGTTATCTTTGATTCTCTTCTACCTTGTCTTTTCTCTTAGTCTTCTGGCCAAATCAGAAATACTTCTTTTCCAGCAGAAAGCTAAATTGAGGGCAGGTTTCAAGCAGTTTGTTTAATGTTTTGGACAATGGCAAAAGTGGACTCAAAAGACTAATCTTCTACCCATAGTGTGCCCATTCCTCTCAGACACGCAGGGTAAAAGCAGCAGCTGACATACTCACACACCCCAGATTAGGCCACTGCTCCTATAGTTTGCTGCCTAACTGGGAGAGGTAGCTGATAGACTTGCAAGTGTTCTGCTACTTTGAAAGTCAAGCTAAATAGAATAGAGTAGCAAGGAAGAAGCCTGGTTAAGAAACTTGACTGAACTCTACAATTCAGGAACCTTTTGTGCAACTCAATCACCATGATCACTGCACTAAGTACTTTGCAGAGCTCTTCATCACTTCTGCACCTTCATGTATATGCTCGGCAGTAGGATTTGGTATATACCTGTCTATTTTACCTGCACACAGCATTTATAGCACCCTTGTAACTGAAATAACTCCATATCCAGCTTTAAGACTCACTTCTGGACATGTGCTAAAAATAAATAATGGCTGGCTGCTGTCAGGAATACAGTCATGTGCTGGTCTGTGTCTTTAGCGTCTTTCTTTTCCAGCAGTGTTGTTACATTATAGGCTTATTAGATCAGCACAGGATACAGCCCTCTGTGTTGTGTGAACAGGTGGATCAGCACCCCAAGAATGGTTGTCTCAACTGAAAAAGCAGCTTGATCCTCTGGCTGTCGGGCTATTTGCCACCAAGCCTGTCAACTGAAATCAACTTTGAGTATGGAAACAGCCTATGCAAGTCTCCCCCTGTCAGAAAAAACGGGTTGCCAATTGGCACGGCCCACAGCGCCAGGCCACTCTGAATTCAGCTCTCCTGAATTCCTCACAGCATGACCCAGGCACCAACCAGACCTGATATTTCACTGGCCTCGTCCATGCCTGCTCAGCCAGCACACCAGCCTCTCACGTGATGCCACCATCACACCCTTCCCAGCAGATAAGACCTGCTGGTTTTGTGGTGCCACATGGCCAGCCAACCCCTGGATCAGTCCAGATCTTCCTTACGTATCCTTCTTCATGGTGATTTACAGTGAAAACTGCAGGGCTGTGTTTCTCTGCTGGAAGAAGAAACATTCCAGTAGAACGTTTGGAATGGGTAGCACCGGGTTCTGCCGAGACTGATCACCACCAACCTCTAACTGCACTGCCTGGGAGTTTGTTTCTGTGACATCTCAGAGCGAGAATGTGTTCAGGCCTCTAAATCTGCCTTTCATGTAGTTTATTAATTCAGTGCTGGCTGCTACATATCAAAATCGTTAAGAGGGATATCAGTAGAATTTCCAACTTCATGATGATTAACAGAAAAAGGAGGCATTTTTTCAAAAATCTAACTCTATTAAGCACTGCACTTATGACCTATAACAGGACATTAAAAAGAACCTGTCAAACAAAGCCATGTTTTTAAAAGCTGTGCTGACTACCCTATTTATATATTCCTGGTAAAACAGACCTTCTGCCAGGAAGACAAGAGGGAGGGGGAAAAGCAAAAGGACTAGGGTAGCTTAAAATCAGAATCTGCATAACAAAAGCAAAACGACTCTGCAATCCTGATGGAACTGCAAGAAAGACATTTCTTCAGGACATGTTTGGGCAGGTTGAGACCAGGCATCTCAATCCTTGCTAAAAAGCGAAATTATTCTCACATTAAGTGTAGTCAAAAGAAAATGAGGAAGATGAGAAGGCTTAACCTCTAAAGACAGACTGGTTATTTTACAATACAATTTGCTTGCAGCTTTAAGCATATTACTTTAGGAGATGACTACTGATAACCTGCAAATGGAAAAAAATGTGTAAAACAAACCAGTATACAACAGCTAAGACTCTTGTGATTTATGAAGTATTACAAGTATTATCCTCATGCTTTTAAACAGTTAAAATATTAAAATATTTGGAAGCTGATTTAGGAAGACTAAGCTGAAATCACGTTGTCAGGTCTTTTTTTAAAAAACAGGTTTTAAAAAAAAAACTGCAGTAGGAGTTTCTGAATCGGGAAATTCTGTTTTGGAAATCCACCAAACCCTGGTTAGGAATCCTTTGCACTAACAATAATAATCTAACTTGAGGAGGGTACTGGTCGAAGGAAAGAAGAAATACAAGCAGAAAGCAGTGTGTAAAGAAAGACAACCTGAAGAAGTTTCAAGTACAACTGGAAGCTATTTCTGGAATAGGCTTCCATTCCACTTATTTAGTCTCTTCAGGTGTCTTCAGAGCACAGACAGGCTGTTTGGGATCAATTAATACACATAAAAAAGGTGATTTAAAACAACCACATAGTGATAAATAATTCCACAGGGAGAGCATTTGGACCGAATGAGTTTTGAAGCACAAGGTTTCCTGATGTAGTTGCACTGCAAAGAAGTATGTCCGTGCTTGTGTCGCTTAATTCATTGGTTTCATTATCTGCAAAGAACAATGAATTTGGGGCTGCAACACATCACAATTAGCAATAATGGATGTAGGGATTAACTTGCCATTAAATTAAACCAGTGAGTTCTCTACTAGGGCTGTATACTTAAGGGACCCTGCCATGGCCATCTGATGATTCATAAACGTGTGGGAATCCCTTTGTTACTGTCAGTTTTGGTTTTCAGGTCTGGACTCCCTTGTGTGGGCGAGCAATGTGACTTTCCCCCACTGTTCTGGGGGAATCTCTTCTCTGTTGGGTGAAAGTTGTAGCGGCAACTTTCCATTCTCAGCCTTAAGGGCTGCAATTCCCCCGTGAGTACTTACTTTGGCCTAAACAGCCTTGCCTTGGGTTATGTTCTCAGTTAAAATCCATCTACTCTGAACTGCTGAAAGAAGTTATTGATGTGCAGCTTCTATCATCAGAATATATCAATATGGCACAGAGACTCCAGACTACAGGCAGCTTTTCAGGATATGGATTAGGTATTCCCTTTGGTAGTATGTTAGTGGGCATTAAACTGTTACGTGTCAGGATTTAAGCTCTCAGAGCCGAGTGCCTTTCCTGTGGCCACAGAAGGAGCACTCCAGAACAGTTTCAAGAACATTCCCAACAGATTTCCAGTTTTTTCCACATTACTTTCTCCACTTTCCTTAAAATTTTATGAGGCTAAATGTCCATGGACCCACTAAAGAAGATGCATTTCTTTGTTTAGCTAGATAACCTGACCTTTCCTTGTCACTCCGATTACTGTCCGTAGCAAACTTACTTTTAAATTCTTCACTTCCAAATTGGAACTGCTTTTGGGCTTAGTTACTCACAGAAGGATTGCAGCAGGTGGGCTATTATCCTTAGCTATTAATTACTAACATTTAAATTTTAGGTTCTTCTCCTTTTCATCTCAGGTTTTAATCACCAAGCTTAGATAGCAGAGGCAGAAATATCTTCCAGGTGCTGTCTCACTGCCAGCTGTGGCAGGCCCCATCAGCCGGGGGAACTAAAAGATGCTCCTTTGCTGAAACAGCAGCAAGTCTCTTGGAAGTTTAACCTGAGTCCTGCTATCCTGGCAAACATCATTACCCCTTCCTAAATATTTAATTAATTAGGCCACTCCAACAACTCAGACTATCTGTGCTAAAGAATACTGATATTTTAATTCTTTACATAAGGGTAGGAGGTCACTGTGGAAAGGTAAGCAGAATAATTCCTGCTTAAGTTTTCAACTTGGTTTACCTTGTTGAAAATGCACAGCTCTGTCACACTATGCTCAGTGGCTCTAAGAGAGCATCATCACCATCATCACAGAACTATCTGGGTTGGAAGGGACCTTAAAGACCACCTAGTTCCACCCCCCTGCCATGGGCAGGGACACCTTCCACTAGCCCAGGTTGCTCAAAGCCCCGTCCAGCCTGGCCTGGAACACTGCCAGGGAGGGGGCAGCCACAGCTGCTCTGGGCAACCTCTGCCACTGTCTCACCACTGTCACAGTAAAAAGAATTTCTTTCTTGTATCTAATCTAAATCTACCCTCTTTCATTATAAAACCATTACCTCTTGTCCTATCCCCACACCCCTTGATCAGGAGTCCCTCCCCACCTTACCTGTAGCCCCTTTCAGTACTGGAAGGCCGCTATAAGGTCTCCCCGGAGCCTTCTCTTCCCCAGGCTGAACAACCCCAGCTCTCTCATCCTGTCCTCACAGGGGAGGTGCTCCAGCCCCCTGAGCATCTTCGTGGCCTCCTCTGGACCCGCTCAAGCAGGTCCGTGTCCTTCTGATGTTGGGGGTCCCAGAGCTGGACACAGCACAGTCTCACAAGAGCAGAGTAAAGGGGGAAATTCCCCTCCCTTGACCTGCTGGCCGCACTTCTCTTGATGCAACCCAGGATGTGGTTGGCTTTCTGGGCTGTTAGCGCACATTGCTGGCTCATAGTCAGTTTTCCATTTGCTAATACCCCCAAGTCCTTCTCCTCAGGGCTGCTCTCAATCCACTCATCACCCAGCCTGTATTTGTGCTTGGGGTTGCCTCGACCCCTGTGCAGGACCTTGCACTTGTCTTTGTTGAACTTCATAAGGTTCGCACAGTCCCACCTCTCCAGACTGTCCAGGTCCCTCTGGATGGCACATCCCTTCCCTATAGCATGTCAACTGCACCACACAGCTTGGTGTCGTTGGCAAACTTGCTGAGGGTGCACTCAGTCCCACTGTCTGTGTCACCAACAAAGATGTTGAACAGCGCCGGTCCCAATACCGACCCCTGAGGAATGACACTCGTCACTGCTCTCCACTCAGACATTGAGCTGTTGAGCACAACTCTTTGAGTGTAACCATCCGGCCAATCCCTTATCCACCGAGTGGTCCATACATCAAATCCATGTCTCCAATTTAGAGATAAGGATGTCATGCAGGACGGTATCAAATGCTTTCACCTTTCCCATGTTTAATGTCAAGCCAGAACATTCTTGATATATTCTGGCAACTCCTGATAGGCATGTCTAGGCAATTTCTTCTCAATGTATAAACTTTGCATAGGACTGCTGAATTTGAGTGTTTCCTGGATACTTCACTTCACGCTGCCTGCACTAGTCAAATTAGAGGCCTGGCTTCAGTAGCTCCAATTTAAGTTTAATTCAAGCACCCAGAAGAGCAGCCTCTGCTGCCATGAGCACAGACACAGGCAGGGTCCTCAGGAAAGAGTTGGGTCAGCAGGCCTGGGTGAACTAGGAACTACGGGAATATGTTGTATATGGCTTGGCTACTGCAGCCTGTCAAGGCCTTGGCCCTTCCTGAATACTGCCACACACTGCCAGACCCCGTTGCCTGTGACCCAAACTCAGCACCACCGTGTCTATGCAGAGAAAAATGAGATGATGGAGGTACAGGGTTCAGAAAAGACAATTGTGGCCTGACTGTCCTGTCGCAGAAAGTTGACATGCAGAACTATGGGTTTAATGAACTTAATTATTCCAGGCAAGGATCTTTGTGCCGTTATATATATTTTATGTGTAATTTATTGCTGTTATGAGGAATTATGTATTAATTCTGTTTAAATGTGCTGCTTTAATACAGCATCTCAGGGTGTGCATTACACATGGCTGCATTTCTGGTTTTCATCCATTCAGCATAGGAAAGACACATCCCCAGTGCAAAAGCCAGCATCCTTCCCCTGAATTCAAGGCCAGGCCTCAAACATGCCTCTAAGAATGCTTTGTAAACATGGGCAAACCAGTATCTTCTTCATCTAGTTCAGAGAAGCCCAAAGCACGCCAGATTCCATTATTCTGTTCCCTTTAGTTCATCCTGAAACAAGTACTGTGTGTGGAAAACGTTTGCATTTGCATGAAACAGTTAATGCTATAAACATCGAAAAGCAGAGCCTGAGCTCCAAGCTGCAAGAAATGAGATCGATGTTAGTGAGAGGACAGCCCTGCCCAGACAGTATTATGGAGGGGTTACCTGGAGCTCTGCCCTTCATGTCATTCATGCACTCCTTGTAGTTCTTTGCGATCAGGGAATACAGATGTGCTAAACTTGGGTTTTTCCCAGCAGCTACCAGGGCTTCAGCTGTTGCCAAGTGCATCACCGTATCATCGCTGACTTTCCAACCTTGCATGCTGAAGTTCCCAAGTCCCCCCATCTCCGCCAGCTCCTTGTGGATGGCTGGGCCGCTCTGCAGGAACTCCCATCGCCCGTTGTAATAGCCCAGCGTGTCACCAACTGCGCTCAGCACCATCGACGCCACATAGTTCTCCATTGTCTTAGGACACAGATTTTGCCCCAGGGCTGCTTCAATGCAGAAAACACTATGAAAAAAATAAAAGGGGGGGAGCCTGAAAATAAAATCTTTCCCAGTTTAGTACGAGCCCCTACTGCTATGCTGCAGCAGGCTGGATATGTGGCCTAGCTACCTGCGTCTCCCCCAGAAGATGTATTTCTTCAAAGCACATGCCTCCTCACAGACCTCTGGCCGCATGCACACACCGGCAGCTCCCGGGCAGCCCAGTCCTGGGCCGGGGGGGCCGGCCACGTCCTCCCGGGTGGCAGCGGCAGCCTGGATGACACCGCAGGCTGTAGCCAGGTCAAAGACTGAAGAGCAAGGGCAGGACTGCAGCAATGTGTGCAGGTTATTGGGACCGAACCCACGTCCTACACCTTTCTGCATGCAGCCCACGGCACGAGCAAGGAGGTTAGATCAGCTCCCAGCGGCTTTCTGATGACGTGAGGCAGAGCTTGGCCGTTTCAGCAGCGCCTGGCGGAGGGGATAAACAGAGGGGCCCTGGGCAAGGCTCGTCCTTGCTCCACGACCGCGGGTGCTCGCACAGCAGAGTTGGCAATGCCAGCGGGTACCTT